GCCCGTGCGCACCTTCTTGATGTTGTAGAGACGGGTGAGCATGCCGACGCCCCGGTCGTTGAGGATGGTGAGCTTCTCCGCCAGCTTCTGCTGACTGGGCTGCAGCACGGAGCGCGACATAGTGGTGGTGGTGGTGGTGGTGGGACCGCCGCCGGCCTCCTCGCGCCCAGTCACCGGCCCACGGCCGCATTCTCCTGCTGTTCTGTGAAAGGTAGAATGAGGAGAAGGGAATCGGACGCTCGGCTGAAGCTCTTTCTACGACAAGGGAGGCAGGTCAGGCTCCGCCCCCTGACTGCTCGTGGTGAAGTCCCTTGCCCCGCAGCAGCCCGCGCCCCGGCAGCCTCCTGCTTTCCGCCCGCCGCCCTTCCGTCTCCACCCCCGGCGCTCTGCGCCCCAGCTCCCACCGAGCCGCCTTCCCGGGCTCCTCCACTAGGTGTGGCGGTGGCGGCGGCGGCGGCGGCGTCTCCGGCGGCTGAAAACGAGGCCGCCTCCCGCAGCCCGGGACCGGCGCTCGGTCACCTGATCCGCCGCGCCGGCGCCCCCGCGAGGCTGGACGGAGAACTGCGCCTGAGGGGCCCTCGCCCTCCCTGCCTCGCTGCTGCGGCCGCCACTCAGAACCCAGCACCGGCCCCGACCTGGCCCGGCCCGCCCACTGCGCCTGTTCCCGGCTTGGGAGTCCTAAGCCCGGATCGAGTGGGGTCACGTTTCTACGCTCAACCGCACTTCGCCCTACGCCCCTCTCCTTCAAGTCCCCAAAAGTTGCTTTTCAGCGCCACCTCCCTAAAAAAATTCAGCAGATGCCCGGGGGCGGGGTGGGGGAGGGTGCGGGCTTCAAGAGAGTTTCGCCTTAGAGTGGGCTGGTGGCTCCAAGCTATTTTTCCTCCCACTGCTTGACAGACGCTACCGGCTGAACACAGCAGATGTTGTGCTCTACGTAGCCGGCATCGCCTCTCCCATCCTCCACAACCCATCCTTACTCCCCCGCCTCAAGGCGGTTTCTGATAGAGGAGGTCGGAAGTGAGGGCAACTCAAGTTCCTGAGATAATCAGAATCCGGAATTTGTCGACCAGGAGCACCCATCCGGAGAAGACTCAAATAAAGAGGCCCTAGCATATGGGACGCAAAAAATAAATATTTGTTCAATTAATTAAGAAACAATCCCATTTTATTTTTTGTGGCCTCCACCCTAAATCCTGCCCCTTCTTGGAAACATCCTACCACTTTACCATCTCATGGTTTTTTCTCCGCATCAATTTCTTCCCAGCCACACTCCAAGGCTATTCCCTCTGGTTAAATATATTGGAAATGGTTCCAAAAATGAACAAATCAAGGACTTATGTAATCGTGTAATTGACTGGGCTTAGGAATTCCAGCCAAGAAGATTCAAGCCTTTTTGATATGTTGGGGTTTAATTTCCTTCTATGTGTTAACCCTCTCCATTATATTTATTAATTTTAAGTGAATGACAAAATGTTCTGCCACGTACAATAAGACATTCTAAGAGTAAATAAGGTATCACCAGATTGATCCAAATACTTTATGAAAAGGAAATTGTGATGCATAGCTTTTAAATCGTTTTTTTTTAAGCTAGTATATGTACTATTCCTACGGAAATCATTTTAATACCCAAGAGAAATGAAGTGGACTGAATTCACCAGGAAGTCAATCATACCTGACCTAGTGCTTGTGCTTGAAATTCTATACATAGAACTTTATTACCTTCAATGAAGACTTTGTCCCTAGAGTCCGTTCGTTCATTCTTTCTTTTCTTTCTTTCTTTTTCTTTCTTTCTTTCTTTCTTTCTTTATTTCTTTCTTTCTTTCTTTCTTTCTTTCTTTCTTTCTTCTTTCATTTGTTTCTTTCTTTTTTTTCCAACCAAAGCCCATTTGTTCGTTCCTTCCTTCTTTTCTTCCTTCCTTCCTTCCTTCCTTCCTTTTTCTTTCTTTCTTTCTTTCTTTTTAATATAAACATCTCAGATCACCTTTTAAGCTATTAGTCAATAACACATTGGGGGATTTAATTTATCTAGCTACTTTCCAACCTGATAGTAAAATTTTAATTCAGAGGAAGCAAGCAGCTGGAGCTTGAGGTAGTGAGAGGAGACATGGGGAAAGACAGGCTGCATAAGGGGTTTGGGGCAGCCAGAGGAGAAAACCGAAAACTTGAATGTTAGGAGAAAGATGCGCTCTTTTAGGAGACTGCAAGCATAGCAAGAACAAGGAAATAGCACCATGTTATAATTTTAACACAACTATTCCTCCTCAAGAAAAGCCACCATCATGTTTCCATATAAACTTGAACACTTCTAGCTTCTTTTCACTCAGAGAGTACCCAATAGAGGGAGAACTCTATGGATACTGATCTCATTATTTAATTTTTTTATAATGAATTTTTAGACATTGGCCCTAGACCGAATGGAATATGTCTATATGAGTAAAAGAGGTAAGGTCTAGATGTAGTCACGATTTTTGCATTTCTCTACATTTTGCATCAAAAAGCGTTTTGTTCTTAAGATAACAATCCTTTCGAAGTTTACCTATATGTGTAGTATACAGTATACTGTGAGTGCCTTATAATATGTGAGTAATCATATTTTGCCATGTATTTATGATTTTATGGCAATTATAAGTTAATATGTCATTTTATATTTCCTTTCAGTTTTTTAGTCTTTGAATATATGTTATACCATGTGAATCATCCTATAAAGTGTGTATGAAAATTGTTCCTGTTGTGGATTTTTTTTCTGGCCAGTTTTTAAATAAAAAAAAAATTTTTAAATGATTAGGACATTAAATTTTTAAAAAGCATGATTGAAGGTCTTATTTCCCTATCATATAGAGCACAGCCTTCACAGTTTTTTTGGTACTAAAGATTTTCAAATAGCTTCACTTCCATTAAGAAATTTACCTCCAGAATATATATTATAAGCCTTCACAGAGATGTAGAAAATAGATAATAGCTTCATGTTTATAGTAATATTAGAAAATTAACTTATAAAGTCAACTAGTATAGACCAATATACCTAGATAAATGTGAACAGATATACAACTTTTAAAAAGTCAGATTTATTGAGTTGTAATTTAAATACAGTAAAATTTATATATCTATGTTTGAATAATTTTTTTTATTGAGACAATTACAGTGGTACCCACTGTAAGGAAAGTAAGCATTTGAAAAACCAAACGGGTAAATACTTAAATTGGAAGAGGAGTGAGTTTGTTTGGCTTTATAGAGGAATTTCTAACAGAATTAAATTTCGTGCCCCCCAAGTACAGTTTACAACAATTCAGTTATAAAATTCTACTCATAAGATTTCAGAAACAAACCTACAGCATACAGCTTTTTATATATGTATTATAAAACATTCGATCATTATAAAAACAATCGTGGAGGGATTTAAAGAATTTTTTCAATTCTATATAATACATTAAACAAATAACATGTTCATGGCTGCGCTGCCTCACCAAGCTCCTGCTGGAGAAGGTGACTAAGTAAGGAGGTCTCTATACCATGGCTGATACAAAGCCAACTGCCAGCAATTCCACCCGTGGTAAAGCACTGAGGAAGCAACTGGCTACAAAAGCCCCTAGCAAGAGTGCGCCCTCGACTGGAGAAGTAAAGAAACCTTATTGTTACAGGCCTAGTACCATAGCACTATGTGAAGTTAGACGTTATCAGAAATCCACTGAACTGATTCGCAAACTTTCCTTCCAGCACGTGGTGCGAGAAATTGCTCAAGACATCAAAACAGATCTGTGCTTCCAGAATGCAGCTATTGGTGCTTTGCAGGAGTCAAGTGAAGCCTATCTGGTTGGCCTTTTTGAAGACACCAACCTGTGTGATATCCATGCCAAGCGTGTAACTATTATGCCAAAAGGCATTTACTTAGCATACCGCATACATGGAAAACATGCTTAAGAATCCACTATGATTGGAAACATTTCATCCTTTCAAATAAAAAATTTCTTTTTGTTATTGGTAGTTCTGAACATTAGATATATTTTTTCCAGGGGTTCAAAAAGTACCTAAGTTTATGATTGCAAGTGGAAAAATAGGGGACAGAAATCAGGTATTGGCAGTTTTTCCATTTTTATTTGTGTGTTAATGTTTAATATAAATGAGGAGACATAAAGCATTAATGCAAGTCAAAATGTTTCAGTGAATCAAGTTTCAGCAGTTCAATGTGATAACAATTATAATAAATAAGCTTATTAAGTTTTTCTGGACAATGCCAGCATTTGGATTTTTTTAAATTAGTAATTTCTTATTGATGGCAAGTAAATGGTGTTTGTAGCATTTTTATCATATAGTAGATTCCATCTAGTCTCTATACTGTTCTGACTGATTTTACCTACATGCAAGTACATGTTTTTAATGTTGTCTGTTTTCTGTCCTGTTTCTGTAAGTTTGCTATTAAAATACATTAAACTATTTTAAAAAATCAAATACTTAAAGCGTGCCAAGTATTTTTTTTCTAGAGGGAGCTATGAAGCTGTTAAGATATAGACTTTGATCTCGTTGAACTCACATCCCAGTGAGAATAGAAACATGCATAAGGAAGTCTAATATAAGTCAGCCTGAGATACAGGGCTATAAGAGAAGACAGAGAGAGGAGTTTCAGCCTGAACTTTCTAAGAGCCATTTGGAACAATTTACATTTGGACTTTGAGAAGTAAGTCTTGGACTCACAAACTTGTAGAAAATGACATTCTAGGTAGAAGGTAAACTTTAGTAATTGTGAAATAGTAGTAAAGCTATAGGAATGTTTGTTACATACATGAAAGGAACAGTGGGAAATAAAGCCAGACTAAAGGTGACTTTGGGGACTTAAGGATAATAAAGATAATTTGAAACAGTTCTTGACTATGACAAGGATTACAGTATGGGGATTTAAGAATAATAAAGATAATTTGAAACACTTCTTGACTGTGACAAGGATTATAGTATCATCCTTTGATATCCATTGACTCTTTCTCCCCTATAAAGAGAATAAAGACTGCATTTCCCAGCCTCCCTTGCAGCCTAGTGTGACCATAGGATTTAAGCTTTCAAGAACTTTCCTTAAAGACTGCTGCTGCTCTCCTTTTGCCAATTCCTACCAACTTAGTCCACTCTGCCACATGAAACAAGGATGCAATGACCACTATCTGGGACTGCGGAGACATGGCTAATCACTAAGGATGGCAGAACATATAAATGGAAGGTGTGTGGGCTTCTTAACGCAGAACTGCCATACCAAAGCTGGCCTGTCTAGATCTGGATTTTGTACAAAAGAGAAACTTTTACTTAAGCTTCTTTTATTTATTTATTTTTTATACAGCAAAGCCTGATTCTAAATAATCATAGTTTTTGTGGCCAACATGTAATATCTCTACTAAGAATTAAAATCCAATTTTTCTCATCTATGAGTCTCAACAATCCTTTGAGATGTTATGATACTCATTTTACAAATGAAGAAATTGAAATGCAGATAGGTTAAAATTGCCAAATGTCACACCCATAGAAAATAGCAAAGCTTATATTGGATCCTTTATCAGTCTAACTACAACGTTCATACATACTCTTAATTACTGTGATGTCACTGAAGGCAAGTTGGAAGGCATAAATTTGTCATGTATTCATTGAACATGTTTCTATGGTTTCTTCTCCAGTCCCTTAACTCTGCCTAAACTTTCATGTATAGTCCCTTCATGAAACTTTCTTCGATTAACAGCTTGACTCTGCCGTATTATCCACTGTCATATACCAGCTCTTTTAGATAACTTTCTTTAACTTTGCTTTCTCCAGAAACTTAGATGAGAATTATTTCTGTAATGCTTTTGGCTAATTATGAAGAATTTTTCAGTTTGCTTTTTAAAATCACTTAGCTGACCCAGTCTTCTGTTGCTTCTCTACTTAAGACAAGAAAAGAGAAAAACTGATGAAGACGTGTTCTCGGATTCTTAAGATAAAGCCCTTTGATTGGGATGTCTCCTGTCAGAAGGAGCATTGCACTTATTCTTAAAGATAAATCCAACACTTTTTATCCCATTGGACTTCAAATCAGGTACTACTAGTTATGTATAACTAGAAATGTTTGACCAAATTTCTCTGAGAAACGGCCTGGGAATAGTATAGTACACTTGTACTGTTTTTGTCTGTCCTCCATCCTTTCCTTTTATAAACTGCTACATTTTGACAAAATTGAGTGCAGAAAGGGTGTAGGAAGAGTCAGGCATATGTAAATAAGAAATTAATGGAGTTTTGCAAGGAACTGTCATTTTTTAAATTGGTTTAAAGACTGCATGTAGTTAGACCATAATGTAAACAGAGGAACCAACCTGGGTGAAAAACTGTCAGAAAAGACAACAGAAGATTTCATCATGGTTTAACAGTATTCATAGAAAAGATAGGCAACATACAAGCTAAATCAATACTTCAGATTCTGTTCTCCTACATCCAAAGACCAGCAGATATGAAAATTGACTTCACTAAAAAGTAATTAAGAAAGGGAATAGTGAAAAGATGAAGCAACAGTATCCCAGTATCTATAGTAAATGAAGTAAGGAGTGAAGACTTAGCCAGAGATTGCAACTTGGTATTGCAAAGGAGTAAGGAAGACAGGTCTAAACAAAACATTAGCTCCCTAGTAGTCAGCAGAAGAGATGCCAGAAATAGAATTGATCCGAAAAGTTCAAAAAGAAAACAATAAAAAATTAACTACAGTCTTGATCTTGACCATTCACATCCAATTAGATTCATCTTTTAGCCTGCCGGATCTTTGACAATGTACTTTGCATGTATTTATTTGCTTCTGCTCTGTAAAACTAAAGATATATTATTTATCCTTCCTTTTAAAGTAACTCAGAGAACTTTAGTTTTCTCTGCAGAGAAATGCTAATGTAATTTCCATTTATGATTGGTTTTAATTCTTCTTGTTTTTTTGCATAGTACAAAGGACTTGTGATTTTTTGTTTTAGAAATTAGTGTGCAGATGATGAAATACGTATCAGTGTATACAAATATTATTTGCTCTTTTTGGTTTACTCTTAAGATTTTTTAAAAATATCAGAACCCACATGGAAAATTGACAACATCAGTGATAGAACAAAACTTGAGTTAGAATACAGAATAAGCCTATAATGATACTCGAGTTCCAGCAAAACACACAAGGTCCATTTACATTTTTACATTTAGTATACCCCAAAAGTGAACAGTCTTTCAAAAATTGGGAAGGATATTGAGTACTGTATACTCAACTGGACCTTCAAGGAGAGACCTAGACTGAAGATACAAATTTGAGATCGTCAGAATATGGATGTTATTTGAAGCTGTGGAAATGGGTGAGATCTTTTGCGGGGGAGGGATCATTTTTTGAGGGAGTATTTAAAAAAGGGAAATAGGGCCTAGTCCAAAGGCCCAAGGTACTCCAACTTTTAGGAATCAAATAAAATAAATGGAGCCAGCAAATTCGATTGGATAGGATTGTAAAGAGGACTAGAGATTGGGACAGTAGCTAGAGGGGTCAAGCAAGGATTTTTTGTTTGTTTATTTTCAGTATAGCTGTCAGCTTATCCTGTAGAGAGGGAGAGATTTATAACTCAAAATAGAGAGAAAAGATAATCAAAAGAACAGAAGCTTTGACAGAATAGTGAAGGAAGGGAAGCAGACGATACATAGCCAGATTGATTTTTGATTGGGTGTTGCAAGGAAAGACAAAATAATATTAGCTAACATTTATTGACTACTTGTAATGCATCATGTCCTGTTTCAAGTGCTTTACATGCATTAACATGTTTCATCTTCATAACAAATTTTTGAAGTAGGTACACTTTACATCCCTATTAAACAGATGAGGCAGTTGTGCCTAACATTACAACTGGTAAGGGGCAGAGCCAGACGATTAACCACTTGGTGTGTACACTGATGTAGATCAATAAAATTGATCTGGGGAAGATGAGAAAGTTTTCTCATATTTTCTATAATCTCAATGAAATGGAAATAGTTCATCAGCCAAAAAGTCATGCGTCAGAAAATGTTAAGTGTTCCAAAAAAAAAAAAATAAATAAAAGATGTTAAATGTTCATTTGAGTCTGGTGTCATGTACTTCAAATGGTTAGAAGAAAAAAACCTAAGCTCTGATGTCAGAATGCCAGAATTCAAATCCTGACTTTGCCATTTATAGCAGTGTAACAGCTGACTAAAAACTCAGTTTTTCACTTTAAATGGGAATAATTGTATTTACATCACTAGATTGTTGTGAGGAATGCTTGAGGTAAATTTTAGCACTGTACCTTGTACAAGTCAATGAGTATAACTGTTGCTTGTCATTACTACTATTATAGCTATTATTGTTATTATTAGTATTGCCTCAGTCTGTGATTTTGTTGCGTGATTTTCTACATTGGTACATGGCACAAAATATGGAGAGTTGTGGATTTTTCCTTTTTTAGGTGAATGTAACGTAGGGAGAGCGTGGCAAAAGCATTGGGTGAAGTGATTAGGTAATGATATAGCTAACTCATTGCATTTTAGCATTCAACCAAAAAAAATTAAAAATTTACCTGATTGTATTGACATTGCTTTGCTTCGCAAACTCCTATTTAAAGCAATAACTTCTGAAAATGACATTTTCACTGTTTCATAATATACACCTTAACTATTAAGCTTCCAATGTTAAATTTTTTTCTTCTTATTACTAGAAATATTATTATACTTTATGTTAAAATGTCATAAACTCATTATAAATTTCCCCCATTAAAACATCACTGAAGTTCAAATATTTATAATAATTCAAGTGTTCACTGATGCTTAAATTCAACCTTGTATTCCCACTTAAATTCAAATCCTGTTTTACTTAACCACATCACACAAACTAAGGAGCTATTGTCAAATCCTTTTTTTCTTTTTTAAAACTATGACTATACTATGGCTCCACC